ATCTGATCTTTTAAATATGTATACACCAATGCGATGTTTACGCTCTTCGGATGATCATTTTCTTTTAAAGCCCAAATATTCAAAACTGTTAACTTTTGGTCAAAGATCTTTTAGCGTTAAAGCACCAGCTTTATGCAATAAGTTACCGTATGATATCAGGTCCTGTAATAATGTCAATACTTTTAAGAAAAAACTTAAAACCATGTATTTCTTCAAGCTTTTTAAATGTATATATCTTGCAATTTATACTGATTCTTGTGTTGTCTTGGTATTTTATTGTTAATTTTCATGATTTTATAGTTTTTATATCTGTACCATTGTAAAACACCTCTGAACACGTGTATGTGAAAGAGGGGCTATAACAAATTTTTGTAATAATAATAATTTCTATATATTGTGATAGCAGAATTTGACCTGCTAGAGGATTAAAATTTTCGGGCTAGGCCAAACAGAGATGAGCAATGTAATAGTTTCATACATGTAAAATGAAATGAAATAGGGTTTAAAGTCCTACTGTGCTGCTCCGACTGGGGTAATGAAGTCGGGCATAGGTTATACAGTGTGTTATGAGGGAAAGTATGCCCGGACAGCAGCACTACGGCCTACTCTTATATCGAATTCCAACTGCCAAGTGATCTTTTACGTGCCCGCCAATGTGTTGTTTTATTTGTAAATGTATATATATATATATATCATTTGTGATGTTGCTATTGATCGTTATTTATGAACATGTTTATATTGTATGCTGTCCTTATTAATGAATGTTTCGGTACAATAACTTATCTTATCTTAGTCTTACAAGTAGAATTATCTTTCCCTGGGATCATTTATTTTTCTGGAAAAATACCGTATTTTAATGACATGCAGAAATAGTCACGACTCCGTGATCAAATTTATTTCCGTAATATGCATGGAGAAAATCTCGAGCAGAAAATCTCGAGTAGAAAATCTGAAGTTGAAAGTCGAATGTCAAAAGTTGATTATTGAAAGTAGAAATTCTGTTGTTGAAAGTAGAATATTTACGACTTAACGTTGAAAAGGAGGACGTATTGGGTTGAAAAGCACGAGCGGTATATGTTTCCCACACTAAAATGTCCATTTTGGATAAGAATTAAAAAATTTTCTCTTTTGCTTTTTATTTTCTACTTTCTACTGCAGATCGCATTTTGAACCTGATACCCGCCATACGGGTCACCCTACAAGTCTTGAGTAAATGCCATTTATATGGAGCACAAACAGCTCTTTGCTCAGTGTTCTTAATTCATAGTCTTTAATTCTTATCGCTTCATTTGTTGTCGTATTTCGACATTTGTACTCTAAAATTAAAATTTGTATCACAAAACTAATATTTGTTTTACAATTGCAAATCAGATATTTGTTTTACAATTGAAAATCAGATATAAATTTGTCATATCAGATTTGTAAAATGTATTTTTGTTTAATTGAATTGTAATTTAATATAAAAATAAAATATATTTTAGAAAATCAAAAAATTACATTTACATTTAGATTTTATCATAGACATACAACGAAAAACAAATCTCGAACAACAAATTTCCAAATACAAATCTTGCAAAACATAGACAAATACTTTCTGGTGAAGCATTACACTATAACTGGAATTTCGTATTAAGACCCGTATTTCGACTTATAAATACCCCCCCCCCCCTCCGACTCCCTCAAAAATAGGGTTGAGACGATCCAAATTATATCTGCTGTAGCAAAGTACGTAAATATGAATACGTCAGAAAATATTTTACGATCTTGAAAATGTATTTGGACCTTTTTAATGGTATACATCCCGATATCTTGTATTTCGTGTTATGGTCCGTATTATGACGTTAAATCTCTCCCCCCCCCCCATCTCCGCCCCTCATTTAATACAGGTAAGTGCAAATTCAAATGTGTACTTTCTTTCAAGGTATATAAATGTACATGTATGAGAAAATAATTTACATTTTGTTGCAAGCAATAAACATGATATCGAGACTTTTTTAAGATCGTTTTTTTATACTTCCAATACCCCACCCCCTCCCTTCACTTAATACAGTTTAGTACCAAGAAACTTTGATCTTTGTTCAAGGTATGTAAATATGAGTGTACCAGAAAAAAAATTGAAGTGTTGTACGGTATTAAACTCTATTAATTGATGGGTTGGAGGTTGGGTTGGGGTCTTAAATGTCAAAATACGGGCCATACTACGAAATTCCAGATATCACACTGAATACCACTGAAAATAAATAAATTTACCTTTTCAAAAATGTAAATTATATTCTGGCACATTTACATTTACAGAGCTTAAAAGGGTTAGTACAGTTGGATGACACTAAATACCAGTGGTTAGTGTATGCGTGTATGGGGGGGGGTATAAGTTAAAAATCGTGTAATGCTTGACCGCAAAGTTATTTTTTTTATCCCTCTTTCAATATATTACTTATTCCCTGGCGCATTCATGATTACACGATTTAGAAGAGATTAAACACTATTTCGATTGAGCAAAGAGATGTGTGGCTATCAGACAATAACCTAATTTCTGAAATTTATTTTCTTTTTATCAAAGGCCGACTAGCCATACTACGTATACTCGATTCCCTCTTATTGTATGGTGTCTTATTGTATGCCAGGTTGATTTCCGCTCATGTCGTCATAATGTTCAGCTTTAATGAATTTCAAGAAATGTTTTTGGAGAAATGTTTTTAGATAAATGTTTTGCAAGATTTGTATTTGGACATTTGTTGTTCAAGTAGCCAACATTCTTAAGATGATAATGCCCGTGCCCACCGCGCTTGTGTCGTGAATGACTACCTCCAGCGTCACCATATTGTCCATATGCCTTGGCCAGCCATGAGTCCTGACCTTTCCCCTATAGAACATGTCTAGGACATGATCGGGAGACGTGTTCGTCGACGTCAACGTCAACCGACAACACTGCAAGAATTGGCCGTGGCGCTGCAAGAGGAGTGGGCCAGATTGTCCCAAATCGTGATTGGACGGTTGATTAGAAGCATGCCACGACGAACTGCTGAATGTCTGAGGATTGGTGGAGCAATTACTCATTATTAAGACAAAAACCAAAAACGTCCATTTTCACATTTGAAAGTGTATCTCTTTGCGAGTGAAATTGGCATGTTATTAACATACACTGGTTACCTCTAATAAAAACAGCAGTGCATTTCCGCAGTTTTGTATTGTTTCTGAATATCCCCTACTTTTTTTGAGAAGTATATTAAAATACAATTAAGTTAAACAAAATACAGTTTAGAAATCTTCTTATATGATAGATAAAAATGTTCATTTTAGTGTACAAATGTTGGAATACGACAACAAATGAAGAAATAGGAATAAAAGGACTGTGAATTAAAAATTAAGAATAAAAAGCTGTTTGGTCTTCCATAATATATATTATACATATAGCGCGACATTTTGGCACCTTTTCTCCTATAATAAACCAGTAATTGCTTTTCACATAAATAGTCTTTTGTATTTTTAGTTAGGTTATAGACACCCCAATGAAAGTGTCACACCGTCACAAATTGTTGATCAAAGGGTATGGGTATGGAACAATATGTGTATTTTTACCCACATCTCGCGGGGCGACTGTGTTTAAGTGTGTAGTACTAACATCTTATAGTATGGCCTGTATAGTCCTAATATCTTATAGTATGGCGTTTGTGGTCTGCCTGACTTTATAAATATATATCTAGGTGTTGTGTTGGTGTAATATTTCCGTGGGGTATGCCTGTCTGCATTAGTCAAGGCGGTACAGATCAGCAGGACGTTCAACCACACTCCATTTCATTCATGTCTGCGATATCACTACTGTGGCAGCAGACGTTTAACCACAAGCTACTACTGACGTAAACCCCATGGAATCTGCTATTTTAACAATGGTTGAATTTGTTCCAGTTTGATCACCTGATTTACGGTCGGTCGAGTTACATTGTTGCCAATCCGATTAAAATACAGATTTATGTTTCGTTTCGTTTTTGTTATTTATACTTTCGATGGTCTCTACATGAAGATCTGGTCGATTGTAGGGGGAGCTCGCGTCGGGCGTCTTAGAAGCGGCGTTTGATCCTATGGCGTCAGACATTTGATTAACCAATCGGCGTTGATGTTTCTAGTGGGATACCCACAGTTCCATGCAGTACACGCCAAGATCTCGCCACAACAGACTGTTATTGGCTAATCACTCACACCAAACAGAACGCGGGTTATATAACAACTGTTCCAGATCCTAGTGTGGTAAACACAAGTAAAACGAAATGAAGACTCCAGGGGAAAAACTGGTGTTGTCACGTTTTCTGACTTTTGAGTAAATGGAAATTTCCAGTTTAAACACTCATTTCTTCAGTTTGGAAGAGTTCTTTTTAAATATTGCAAGTTTCAATGAAGAATCGTGCATTTAGTGAGAACATTTAAGCTGGTGCACACTCCCATAGCATTCTTATGGTGTATTTTGGGCATATGATTTGACTGACCATGGTTTGGACATAACCAGTTTTTCCCTTTTATGCCTTTCAAAAAACCCTCTGCAGAGAGTGACATGTCCAGTTGTTCCATGCAATATTTATGGAGAAGAAAGAAGGGAGCAAGGGGTAAAATCATGTGAAAGTAATAAAAAAAAAGCATAAATGTGGACGTCACCAGTTTTTCCCCTGTGGTCTTCAGTGTTAAACTATAAAAGATGAAACGAAATAGGATCTGTGTTTTAATCAGATAGCATTACTGCTGGCTGCTGCAGTGGTTGCACATGATGCAATGTGACTACCTGCTACCTGCATTGTTGTTCAGTTACGTCACATCTAGCTGTAGCAGTGGTTAAAGATACCCCCAGCCACTTTGCTTGACTCATGATTACCTGCGCTATTGTTCAGTTACATCACCACTAGCTGTTGCAGTGATTGAAGATATATCCCCAACCATTGTTCAGTTACATCCTAAGCTGTAGCAATGGTTGACGATATCTCCAGCCACTGTACTTGACTCTATATGATTACCTGCATTGTTGTTCAGTTACATCACCGCTAGCTGTAGCAATAGCATACAATTCTGCCGAACATTCGGTTACTCTCGCTTCTCCATCCCCATCACAGGAAAATCCAGCCACCGCAGATACTGAAATACACGAGAGAGACTACTACATGTAACCTCAGGTACTTATATAAAAACAAACAAATAATACAAGGAAATAGATCATTATGACATCAGTGCTGCCATTCTATCTGTCAACTCGCCATTACATTTTAAAGTCCCAAATAAAGGTCCAGTATGCCAGGAATAAAATAAATAAAGAGTTTACTTTGGATTCAAACTTTCACTTATCTATATATGCCGTGAAAGCAATTGCACCCCTCATGAAGTTGTACATATTACATAATTCAATAACAGCTTTTACAATACACTAGCCGCCTACATAATTTTGACCTCTGAGATGTATATACATGTATACCATTTGACTTACACTGACTTTAATCATTTTGAAATGTTACAATAATTACGATAATGCCTCCTATTATATTGTTGATTACATTACATAGTTATTACGGGTTGGTGCTATTATTAAAGAGAATACACTTATTATAGGACTTGGTTTATGTGTGAGTTGATGGGTTTCATATAGGTTAAACATGTTTCCCAATCTCATGCTTTAAGAAATAGTTCACTGTACAGAAGGTAGACCCATATTGGTCTGCATTTGTTATTATTTGTAGGATGCAGTGGGATGATGTAAGTTGATCTACATTACTATAGTGTATTCGTTTATGTTCAAGATACAACAGGAAAAACCTGATTTGTTCGATGCTTAATATACAGTAGAAATACGGCTATTGATCTAAAATGTGATCTGCATTACTAGAGTTCACTTTTCACATAAAGTAATAATACTTCTGCTATCTTTGTTGGTACATGTCAGTGCATTCAATTAATTAGGCAAAGCATTTGTATGACGGGTCTCAATTTATATATGCTACCAAAGGAATTAGATATTAGTAAAATTGTAATATTTCTTAAGCTTATTGAAAAAACCTTTGATAGATTTTTACTTCCTTAATCTAAATCTCATCATCCCCTTACTTGCTATCAACTCAATTCCCGTCTCTAATACCCCCTCCCCCAACACACACACACGCACACACACTTCCAACCCCTGTTGTTCTACATTTCGCGAATAAACGTCAAACAAACAGAGCATTACACCCTAATTCTGTACGAATAATGTCGCAGAACGTACGCCAAACTTGACGTTGTCTTTAACCCGCAGAGACTCTTCCTCAAACTTTTTGAGCTACAAAAACACTTGACCAACCACCTGAATACCCCAGTGCCTACTCGTTGCTATGTACTTTATTCAGTAGTTGAACTTGACAACAGACATTTAAATTAATTACACTTAAGACAGCAACACTTACCCAGTGACGAAGTAAAACACACTAACAGTAAATTTAACTTGGAATTCCACATTGTACGAGACGTTTTATCTATATACTTATGTAGGTATGTAGTTCTACTTACTGGCGTGAACATACCATATTCATACTAATATCTAACCAATTGACATTTATCGTAAATACTATAATGGCAAAATTAATATCAATTTTGTTTTTAATGTCAATCATCACCGGATATGTCTTTATCCTCTGATTCGGGCCGGGGGGGGGGGGGGTGACTGAGTGGTTAGCGTGCGCGCGCTGGATCATAAAGTCTATCATTGAGTCAACTGGCGTGGTTTCGAATCCCCGGTTGTACGTGACAAGGAGTAGGGTCGCCTGTCCAACCTCGTGGGTTTTCTCCGGGTCCTCCGGTTTCCCCCCACTACTAAAGACCCCTATGCGCAAGTGAATTATTGAAATAAAATTAAACCATATGTTCGTCCGGAAATGACCTAGTTTGTGTCGAGTGGACGTTAAACCCCATTTCTCTCTCTCCTCTGATTCTACTTATACTGGATGACCAAGTGTTCAGTCAGTCTAATATGACATCGGATGGTAATGTCTTCAGTTTGTTCTACTAATTTAACACTAGATGGTAAAGTCTAGAGATTGTTCTACTAATATAACACGGTAGACTAAGTCTTTAGTCTGTTCTATGGATGGCAAAGTCTCCAGTTTGTTCTACTAATATGACAGTGGGTGGTAAAGTCTTAGACTTCATTCTGCTAAAAGTACACGTGGATCACCACGTCGTCGTTCTGTTATACTAATAACACTATAGATGACTATATTAATTCTCGTCTCTTTCATCGACTCTGTTTCCCAAATGTTTAGACGATAAACACTTCCTGTTTCGCATTTAGAGGGGTGTTATTCACACTGATCAGCAGTGAATTTTCGCTAGGGCGCTACAATCACTGGTAAGGATGACATCGATGCGACTTAATGAGTCCCAACTTTTTGCGCCCCCCCCCCCTAATTACGGGCCTGGATTTGGGTGTATTTGTCCAGTAGACATGTCCTGAGATCTAATGTAAAATCGCAGGACATTGTAACATGCTACTTTAGCATTTTAAAAGAAATTGCTAAAACAGAGGGTGTTATTGTCCAATCGACAGTGTCTAATTGACCAATCAAAATGCAAGATTTACCCTTAAGCATGCTACAATGGTTGTTACTGGACGCTTTCTACCTCAGATGGAATAGCGTGTGGCAACTTCTTGTTCAAACAGGTATGGGGTTCACCATTGAAATCTAGAGATACAGAACATGGATGTAGCTTACTAATAAACATGTAACTTCCCGCCCTACATCTCAACGCATCCATCCTCTTAACTCTGTTGGTGGGGGGGGGGGGGGGGTCGAGTGGTTAGCACGTGCGCGCTGTATCATAAAACCTGTCTTTGAGCAACTGGACAGGAGAGAGAGAGATGTAGGATTCTGTTGATTAATTGGTAGACACAACAATCCAAAGAACGTTGATTTCATCAGAATTATTCTAGTTCAGCAGATGTTGAGTTTGTGTCTACAAAATGCAACACCCTGACCACACTTACTTACCCCCCCCCCCCGCACACACATCCACACACACACACACCCACACACACACACACCCAAGTCGGAGCAGAACAGTTGGAAGTTAAACCCGGTTTCATTTTTAACGTGAGAGAGAGAGGGAGAGCGAAAGAGAGAGAGAGAGAGAGTTTAACGTCCACTCGACAAAAATTATGTCATTTTGGGACCGACATATGGTTCAATTTAATTTCAATAATTCGCTTGTGCGTAGGGGTCTTTAGCAATGGGAGGAAATCGGAGCACCCGGAGAAAACCCACAAGGTTGGATAGGCGACCCTACTCTTTGTCGCGTACAACCGGGGAATCGAAATCACGCCAGATGACTCAATGACAGAGCTTATGATACAACGCGCACGCGCTAACCATCCAACCCCTCCTACAAACATAAACAAACTAAATATCTATAAAATGAAACATATCCGATGGCCACGAAATGGATAATTCCAAAATTAAAAGTTAAAAGTCCATCCCAAAGTGAAAATAAATATGATTATTTTCATATTTTCACCAGCCCCCCCCCCCTCCCACCATCAGATTGAACTTAAATACATGCATTATTCTCTTAAAAAATCGTTAATATATCTTAATATCCGAGTCACACCTACAAACTTTGAGCAGCAGCAAGCGCAATTAAGCAGTCTCGGTATGTAAAGTACTAATTAACCATACAATATGTTACACAGTGAATGACCGTTAGTACGGTTTAAAACCAGATTTATTATTATAATTTATTATAATAATACCAACAATAATGGTAATAGTTATGTATTATAATACCTAACGCATTATAATCATTGATCCGGGTCGTATAGATCAGTCCCCCTCCCCCTCATGCTGCTTGATACCAGTATTAACCAAAGTATTAGACCTGTTGATCTTAATCTACTGCTGCACCTGTATAAGGTAAATATCTTTTATTCACTATTAGAACTGTTGTTTAAGATAAAACATACACCTTTCCTTCAGTACACCCAATTATGTTTTCTGGAAAAAGAAAAAGAAATATACCAACTACCAAGATTAAAAATGTTGTATCACGTGAATTAATTATATACACCTTTCCTGTGCTATACCCCTGTGCCCACCCACCCATTCCAAACTCCCTGTTTGAAATTGAGGATTTTCCCTGGACAATAAATGTTCATGTCTATTTAAAGATTAGAAACGAAACTATATTAACAAAGCCTGATCCAAGGTCGTTTATTTTACACAAACTTGGTTTTTGTACAGAAACATTAACACGGGCTTAATGTATACATGTAACTAGAAGATGCGAATAGAGAACCACTATAAAATTGAGTTAGTTGCAAAATAACAAGGCTAATGCGACGTTAAGCCCCCATGTCTGTTCTAGCAAACAATTATTAATAGCTATGCTTAAGGCCGGTTTGTTTAATGTTCAACACTAAATTAGATTTAGAATTCTATAAATAAATTCCTTGGACAAGCACGTTCTAAATCCCGCAAGTTAATCAAAGCTACAATCTTCACAAAATCTAACCGAAATACATCGCCCTACACCGCTGTCAAATCACTTGCTGGCCTGTTGCGTCGTTCTACACCGCTGTCAAATCACTTGCTGGCCTGTTGCGTCGTTCTACACCGCTGTCAAATCACTTGCTGGCCTGTTGCGTCGTACTCCACCGCTGTCAAATGTACTCGAGGCTAGTAAATCCTGGGGAACTTTCTCAACCAACATCTCGACCTCATCCTACGTGAGGCATCCTGATACTCTCCGAGCAAACAATGCTCTTTTACTTTCACACATTTTATGTTTAATGCCGTAAATTTGAATTTTCGTTTGTATAAAAAGTAAAACATAACACATTGTTATTAGTTTATACAACATACGAACAGTCTACAAACTTATTGTATCTTACCACCCTCAATATTTCGTAATCACAAGTTTCAAATCTATAGTTCTTCAATTAGCTGGCTACGAATATAAATAATGGACATGTTTGACTAATGTTGCAAGCTACGTATATTAAATGGTTAGAATTGTCAAATTTGAACATGCATATTCATCTATTAGTATATTCAGACTAGCATGAAATAAAACAATCGTTGTATTCATAATAAAATTTATTCGTCGGAGAATTTATACTCGATATTCATAGAATTAAATTTAATCCAAAGTAGATATAGTTGAATGTACGTGGTTATAAGTACTGTTAACTGTGTACTATTGAAGTGTATACCGATTTCATTCCATGCATGAATGTACAATTCATTCTTGGGTGAATTTATCCCCTCTATGGCGATATCAAACTTCGTATCTTATATATTCTTGCTTTATTTCGATTAATCATAAAAAATACATTATATACTACATACTTTATATTATATCTAGAAAATAATTCTAAGGTGAATTTCTACAGGGTATTGTGAGTAGCATCTATTTTTAACTATTGTGGATATAGATTTGATTTAATCTTAGCGTATGTTGTAGTCTGGCTGGACAATATATACCATGACGTCATAAGGATAATCCTATCGATTTATACCTGGCGTATAAATACCAGTAGTGTCATAACCTTTCATGTACACCTGTCTGTGGTTTAGTTTAGCCAGTGACTTTGGACGGGAAACGTTGTTACTTGGAACTTATTTTATACACTTTCGTAAGTTTTTCTTTTTTTTATATACTTAAAGATACATTTATGTCTTTTATAGAACCACACTGGTCCAACACTGATTCAGATCGTTTTAATTTAAATTTAGTATGACTGAATCCCTTTGATTTGCGACAAAAATACATTGATGGATTGGGCAGATCGTTTTAATTTAAATTTAGTATGACTGAATCCCTTTGATTTGCGACAAAAATACATTGATGGATTGGGCTTAAATTTTAAGTCAATATTATGTCTTGTTTAATATCAAGCACAGCATCAAGATTGTGTTCAGACAAAACAAATTTGGAGGCCCACTATCAATGCGTTAAGCTAAATAGTAAACTAAATTTAGTAAACAAACCAAATTCTGTTTACCCTTTCGAAACAAAATAATAAGTAAATGTAGTTTGCCTCTTAAAGATAGATTATGCAAGAGCTAAATCTGCCTTTTGCAGGTCTTTCTTTAGGCCTGAAATGTTATATAAACTATTAATTAGGCATATTTTTTTTTAACAAAACAAGACCATAATCAACTCTCGATGGCATCGGATACTCGAGATTTTAACTAGATTAGAACGGTTCGCCATTTAAAAATTTAATTTAAAAATGGGAAAGCGAATATACCAGTGCCCTGGTCACCACTGTGCACACATCTTGTCAAAACTACAAACAGTAATAACTTGGCTCAGAAAGAAGTAATTTGAATGAAATTTTCAATATTTTCGTTTTACATCATCTATTATAACAATAATGGTCAGCTCTTTATCTAAATCTTACATAATGTATCCTTAACTAATGGAAAAACATACATGACGAGGAAAATTCTAGTCATTACAAGCTAAATTACTAATTTGAACCTAAATCAAAGAAGTTTCATACAATTCAACTCAAATTCCGTTCGTACTAGGGTCAATAATTATGGGACTGCAATCCCGGTTATGTGA